GCGGGTAGATCGCCTGTAAAATCTCTCCACCTCTGTACGTGCGTGTGCAAGCGTGCGTGTATAGGCGCGCTAGAGCGAGAGAGCGAGAAAGAGAGAGCGGGAGAGAGAGAGGGGAGACTCCCCAGAGAGGCTACTTCTTAGGAAACGAACGGTCGTTCTCGATCATAATACAAAATTTGAAGTACAAGCAAATGCAAGGAACGCGCAGAAGCCATCACTTCTACAGCGTCAGGCTGCACCGGTGATCGTATTCAAACGAATCGAATCTAATCTCATCTTTTACCGCCAGTGCACGGCCCCAGCCTTGTTGAAAATGTTTGGTCGCCTGGTCCACAAAAGTCGGGACGCAGGGGCGCAGTCGATTCAATAAATCGGCGGTCGGCGTCGCGTTTCGGCCTCCGACAGGTGGCCCCTCGGCGGCCATCATCCGTAATAAACTCGGTCCACAAAAGTCGGGGCACAGGGGCGCCGTCGATACAATAAATCGGCGGTCGGCGTCGCGTTTTGGCCTCTGACACTGACAGGTGGCCCCTCGGCGGCCATCATCCGGTCATAAACTACTCGTGGTTTACTGCCCATTCGTTACCGAGAGGAGCTTGAGGAACTCTTTGTAGCTGACTTTCCCATCCCCATCCACGTCCGCCGCTTTCAAGGCGGCGCCAACCTGCTTTTCCGACAGATTTTGCCCTGCCTTTTTCAGCACCTCTTGCAGCTCGTCATGTGTAATATGTCCATCGCCGCTCTTATCGTATACTCCAAACGCATCCGCCAGTTCCTTGTGGAAGGCGGCTCCTCGTTTTCCTCCCCCTTCCACCACCCGGACGAACTCCCGGAACTCCACCGAACCGGTCTGATTGGAGTCCACCTCCTGCACGACCTCCAACAACTCCTCCTCTGACAGGTCTTGACCCAGCGACTGCAGAAAATTGCCTAATTCCTCCACGGTTATCGTTCCGCTGCGATCGGTGTCAAACAGAGCAAACGCCTCCGTCAGTTCTTTCAACTGATTCTGAAGCTTCTTCTTCCCAATCTCCGCCGCATGCGATGCCATTTCGCTCTGTGTGTGTGTGTGTGTGTGTGTGTGTRTGTGTGTGTGTGTGTGTGTGTGCTTGTTCTCCTGCGCTGTTCCCGTCCCCTCATCCACGTTCCACCTTTGCCGACCTCCTATTTTCTCTGTGTACTCGGGACGGCTACTAGTACTTATACTTATTGCTCATCTTGTCCGCCACACACGATGAGCTAGGACTGCCGTTGGGTCTGGCGCCACTACTCTCGAATGTGCAAAACGTGAGCGAATCTTCTTCTCGATTTATGCGTGTCATCCATGCTAATCTTCTCTGTATCGTTCCAATTTTAACGGATGTCCCGAATCTTCTTACAACGATATGATTTTTGTCCTGTGTGGAGTGAGGCCCTACGACTGTCGTTACTGCGGGTACCCCTACCGGTAGCAGTTCCTTGCTTCTCGTCGTGCTAGCTCGGAGAGATGAAACTAATGCAGATGTGTTTTACGCAGAAATGCAGAGCCGCGGCTCAATCGCGATTTATTTTATTTTATTTTTTAAACCAATCGCGATTTTCTGCACCCCTGGGCAAAAGGCGTCCAATTCAATCCTCTTTGCTAGTGGGACCTCGACCTGGGCCGCTTGGTCCAGCAATGCCGTCTCGTTCTTGCTGGCAAGACCTGTGCGACGCGGTTTTTTTTTTTTTTTTTTTTTTTAATGTGACGCGCTTTCTTCTATTCTCTTTCCTTTTTTTTCCTTCTTTTTGTTTTGCGACGCGACTTTCCAAGCTCGGGGGCTATCCAGCGGCCTAACTCAGTTGGTAAGGCACGCAAGTGGCATTCAGGAGGTCGTGGGTTCAATCCCCACTGGCCTCATGTACCTTCCTGGGCATGCTTGGCGCC